TATCAGTTTGAGAGTGAAGGAGTTATGGGAGGATCTGTAGGGTGAAAAGGAAGCAGAAAGTGATGTAATTATATTTTAATTAAAATGTATATGAAACAACTTAAACTAAAAACAAAAATAGCTTTCTGAAACCTCGCCACCCACATTGGTCTCTGATGGTGTTGCTCAACAACCTAAATTTGACAAAAACCCCAAAATAAAATAAGGAGGTAACTTTGAGGCCACCAACTATTGAAGATTGAATACCGTCACTGTAGAGAGCTAGACTGTTGCGGATCAAAGCCATATTATCTTGGGCTTCCTTTAGCTTCTTAATTGTCATAGCTTCCCCATCTCCGTATCCCACTGAACACCCTTGTGCCTGTCAGGTAAGCCATTTCAGAATGTTAACAGACGAGGCCCAGAGCAGATTCCTCTGCTTCACTATAACCTTGTCAACCCTATGTCTCCACTAAGGTATTTTTTTAAAAAAATCCTTTGATTTATGTCTTTCTTTTGTTCTGTAACTATAAAAACTTCACGACACGTTTCCACGTTGGGATGTGTTACTTGGGCGACTCGAATCGGCGTTCCTGGGAAATGGCCATTCGTATTTGTCTCCAGAATAAACTGTTTCTTATTCTCTTTGAGAACTGGGTTTTGCAACAAGACGTGTGACCTTTTGATGCACCGGGGGTTGACCTGGCACCGGACATGGTTACTGAAAGTGTCTAGGCTGCAGAGTGTCTTCAGATGGAAATCATTCAGCTCCTTATTTCCTTGGCCCTGACCCAGTGTGCTGGCGTGCTTGCTGACAGTGAAGATGGAGCCACACAGGGGACTTATTTTGTCGTCCAGTCTGCAGCTGCATGAAAGATCGGAACGGAAGGGTCGGTGGGCCATTTCACCACATCCTTTCCCCTTCTCCCCCGAAGTATTTGTAGCAGATGGAGGGTGTGTAGATTCCGTACTGGAGGCTGGAGTCAGTACGCACACATCACCAGCTAAGCACCAGCACTGTGAATGGTGTGTTTGTTTTGACTTAACCCTCCTCCATCCCAGATGCCCCTGGAGGAGAACAAATTGATATCAGCGTACATTAACCAGACTCAGCAATTTGGGAAGTGCCTGAGCCCACGCATCCAAAGAATGGGGAGGATTGAGAAGAGTGATAACGCGAGCTAGACATCACAAGTCTCGGAGACACAACTGGATCAGAGGGCTGAGACTGAGCTCTGGGATGCCTAGCTGCCTCTGCTTCTCCAGCCTCCTGATTCTCCCTGTATAATCCACTGGCTGATGAGCTGGAAGACAGGATTTTTTTTTTTAGGGTGTTAATCCACTGCCTTCTCAGATTGCCAGGTCTCTAAATAAAACACAGTTGAAAGATTGAATTTCTGGTTCTGCTCACTGGCATTTGTGGCTATCGGATTCCGTATGCCAGTTGCAGAATGACGCATGGTACTATTGGGCATTTTAAAGAGAAAGAGATCATCTATAGTAAATATCTGGGGTATTTATCCTAGTCTTGGGACATTCAGCTTGTTTGTTTTTTCTTTTTCACAGCAGTATTTGAGGTGATCTTATGAGTTCATTATACACATGCCTTTTTCTCTCCCTCTTTTAATGCTCATACTTAAATTCCATATTTAAGCCAAACTTTTGTTTCATAAAAGAAACAGTATTTGACCTGTTTTAGAAAACCAAGAATATGTGGCTATTTTTGTTTTGTTTTGTTGTTGTTGTTGTTTTTGTTTTTCAGGAAAGGGTTTCTCTGTGTAGCCCTGGCTGTCCCGGAACTTGCTCTGTAGAGCAGACTGGGCCTAACAGAGATGCACTTGCTTCTGCCTCTTGAGTACTAATATTAAAGGTGTGTGCCAGCACCGTCTGACAGACATGGAGCTTATTAAAAAAGTAGTAATCCTTGCCTACCACATGTTAGCTGAGAGCGGAAGACATCATTCATGACTTTTGAAAAATAAACCTTTTGGCTTGTTTTTACCAACACCCTGATCTTTCTTTATTTTCATATTTCAAAGAGTAGGCCTCTCCTATTATTTCTTGAATCTTCAGATCTTCGGTGTCTGACTGTAGAGAATGGACACTTGGCTCTTTTCTGTCCCAACCCCAAACTCGCCTCTGTTCAGCTAAATTTCTCCATCTCTTCATCCTCCCAGGAAAGCCACATTGCAGTTTTCCCATCTGTTCCACAGCCATAGAGGTGTGGTCTGTGTGATCCTGACCACACTGTGCATGGCACAGCACATGCCCTTCCTTGCACAGTTGTCACCAGTGATCTGTGACTCACATTTGGTCATCTACTGTCTTAGTCAGTGTTCCGCTGCTGTGAAGAGACACCATGACCACAGCCACTCTCATAAAAAAAAAAAAAAAAAAAAAAAAAAAGCATTCAGCTGGTGCTTGCTTACAGTTTCAGACATGGCGGGGACCACGGCTGCACCCAGATCCAGGCAGACATGGTGCTGAGGAAGTACTTGCGAGATCTACATCTGAATCTACAGGCAGGAGAGAGAGAGAGAGAGAGAGAGAGAGAGAGAGAGAGAGAGAGAGAACAAAAGAGAGCGAGCCACACTGTGGGCTGCCACTGGAAAACAGCAAGCTGACAAGCCTTCAGCTTGCCCATCTAAAGGATTCAAAAAACGAAGCAAAGCCAGACATGCGGATTGTTGATGCCGAAACAATACCCGGGTGAAAGGATACCCGACCACCAATCACGAGGGAGATGCAAATTGAAGGCAGAGTGAAGCTCCCCTCCTCTTTGTTAGGATGCCTATTATCCGAAGAAGGGAAAAGAACAAACGTTGGTTACCATTTGTGGACCCCAGACCCTCAGAACATGATTCACAGGGAGGTAAAAATGGCGCAACTGCTGTGTAAACCAACAGCAGGAAGTTTTCTCAAAATCTTAATTTCCTTAAGAGCTGAATTGCTTATGGTCCATCAGAACATGGTGGCAGGGGGGTCATGGAGGCACAAAGTTGTCCCTGTCAAGGGGGCCAGAAGCCAAGAGAGCTAAAGAGAAAGGGGAAGGAATGTTCCTTGGGGCCCACCTCCTGTGAGGTACTTCCTTTGTGTATACCCCACCTCTTGAACCAATAGCACCGCCAACTGAGGTAGCCTGTAACACAAGGATCGTGTGTGTGTGTGTGTGTGTGTGTGTGTGTGTGTGTGTACGCGCTCATGCGCGCGCACACATGCGCTCAAATGCATGTGCATGTGCGGGATGGTGGTGGGGGTTTCGTATTCAAGCCATACATGCACTCACATGAACAAAGTCCCCTGGCTGAGGATCTCTGTTCTGTATTAGCATTTCTCAGACATGAGTGTAGACCTGAACCACACAGGGGGAGGGAGGTTATATGGGGTGGGGATGGGGGGTCTGTCAAATAAAGGGGGGGCTGTTTCTGTATCTGGAGTCTCTTGGCTGCTTCTGGGTGGGTCTGGAAGGTGTACGTTTTCAGCAAAATCCTAGGTGGTTCTAAAGCTCCTGACTTTGCTTCTGCAATATGATGACCCTCCCGACCGCACTGTTGACATTTCCCGAACACAGAAATACCGAGATGAGGCCAGCCAGCAGAATCTTGGTTGTGGCGTTCAGTTTAGAAACCATGATGCTGTAAGAAATTAGAAGGCAGCTGCGAAATTCGTGGTTTGGGGGATCAGTCGCAGATTCCATTTTTACATTTGTTCTGAATTTAGTGATCCACCCTCTTTCCCTCCCCCCACAGCTCCCAACCCCCGTGCAAGTCATATAACAGCAAAGATGAGAAAAAGGAGATGACCTTGTGGAAAAAACAGAGGGTAATCTTCACTTAGGATGCAGCCACCCGCCCACTGGTCCGCGCTCAGTGTGTTTCCTGGGCCTCCTGCTAAATGGTCCGTGATGTGCTTTATACGGTTTCCTGGGAACTGTGTGCAGAAAGCTCCACGATGCTTCCCTGGCTGCCACCTGACTTTGAACACCTTGGACCAACTATCTGGGGTTGGAAGAGCAGAAAATTGCAGGGATGAATGTGGCACACATTCCTGCAGATTGGAGGCAGGACGAGAAATCACCGTAGCATGAGTGTGTCTGGATGGCTTACATTTAATCTTCTGGGTTTACAAGACATGATGGAATTCTGCAGGGCCTTTTAAAATCATTGCCTTTTTGCTCTCCTCAGAGCCCGTCCTGCACGCCTGGTGCTAACACTTAATTATAGCCAAGAGAATGTGAGGAGCCCAGCGCTCCCTCCTCACCCCGGCGAGCATCAAACAAAATCAATAGTCCGGTGCTGGCAGCCATTGTCTCCTGCATCTCCTTCGCTCATCTGTGATTGCTTTTATTACTGCAGTTCGTTTAATGAGACCAGAGTGTTTGGAGCCAGATGGTGACGTTAGTTCAATCTGGAAGACTCTAATGGAATTGAGTTCAAACCAGGTTAAAAGTAATGGAATTACAAATTTCAGTGGTCATTGTCTCATAGCAGCACGCTCCGGGTCCTTGTTAGACACCAGGAGTTAGTGCCCGCTTCAGATGAAAGATCTGAAATGCAGTTCAGGGAGACCTGGTGTGTTCATCTGCTCGCTCATTCAACACGCACTTCGTTATGCTCTGTGCCACCCGTACCACCATTGTTGTTTCTGAATCATGGCCCCTGTCATGTACTGGAGGTGGCAGGCCGAGCTAAGCAGGCCGGCGAAATTACTCTGTGTGTGTACGGTCTCTAGGAAGGGAGGAACCTGGCACCGAGAGTGTAGGGTTTTGAGGACCATGTAAGGAATAAATACACGACAGCTTTAAATTCACCATTTTGTTGAGGTTACAGTTTTATCCCCTCCCCCCAGAGAATGAAATGCAAAGAGAGAAAGCAAATATCCCACACGGAGACCCAAGCTTCTCTGGATGTCTCCTGGTGTGGGTTAAAGTCCCTTGGAAAGGTCCAAACTTCAAAAGTGGCCTCAACCTGGAACTTTTCCATAGGAGAAGTCACCAGTAAATATTGACACCAGAGTCAGTCATCTCTGCTGAAGTTCCGGGCTGCTCCGACCAGCCGGGACAGCCAGGTCACAGGTGACAAGGATAAGAACTGTCATCCTGAAGCTGTAGAGCGGCCATCTCCCTGGCTCTGGGTCACAGCTCTCAGGATGGAGCAGGCAATGCTGCAGATGCTTGTTCTGTGGGCGCTGGGAATGCACTACCAGTGTGCCTCAGGTGAAGGACACACTTAGCCACCTGCTCAAGGTGATCGATCGCTGCCCTCTCAGAGTTCCACCGCCTCTCACTGTGGCCTGTGTTCTTGCTGTCCAGGTTTCCCGGTGTACGACTTCAACCCTTCCTCCCTGCAGGAGGCCCTCAAGGCCTCGGTGGCGAAGGTGAACTCGCAGTCCCTGAGTCCTTACCTCTTTCAGGCGACCCGGAACTCCTTGAAAAGAGTAAGTGAATGGGGACACCTTTCCTACCTTCTCCACCATCCCTGCCTTGTCTTTGCTTACTTTGTTGAATCAATTGTTTTTATTTTTCTGTTTACAAAGATCACAGCCGGTCCTTTTTCTTGCTGACTGCTTCAAAGAAGAGATTTTAATTACAGTTTTTGCCCTGGGGTTCTCAAAGCTTCTTGGGACATCTGATTCTTCCTTCTGTGTTTTCCCTCTGACCTTGGCTTCTCTCTGTGCGTGTCCTGGTTTGGGGTGAAGAGTCTTAAAGCCCTCCTGGCTCCTAGGAAACATTCTAGGGATGCTGTTGGCCTCCCAGCTTTTACAGGAAGGAAACACTGGCTCCGGAGACAAAGAAACCCACCCAACTTTGTCAACTTCATAGTGCTATTTCCTGATCACCAGAGAACTGGGTGAACATTATCTTGGGTTTGCTGGGACTCAGTGGAGCACAGAATGAGGGGGAAATGGAGCAGTATCATAGAGAAGCCCTTCTCCTTCCCGCCCCTTGAGGACTTCACTATCTTTTTATCAGCTTAATGGGGTTCAGAAGAAGGTAGGGACAGAAAGGCACCCCAAGCAATGGATGTTCATGCCAAAGATGAGGAAGAAATAGAGCAGCCAGCCTCATGGAGTCAAGAGTGGACCCACGTGGCCACGTGGCCAGGCAGCCACTACCACCACATAGAGGCCACGCTACCGTCACAGTCTCTACGGCTTTCTCTCTTCTCCACCCTATTCTAGATCCACAACCTTTGCCATTTAGCTGCTCCTCTGCTGTTCAACAGAAGTACACTTTGCTCTCCCAGCTTGCCTTCATGTAAAAAAAAGTCCCTTTGCCCCCCGCCCCAACCTTCTGACACTGGTTCCTTGTTTTCTTTTCCAAATACAAAGCAAATTCATTGAACAGCTTCAGCCGTCTCTTCTAACTGGGTATGGTCATGAAGATGTGGGCTGAGCTATTGTGAGGCACCAACCCTAGGATCTGACTGTCAAGGTTGGCACTGAACACTATTATGGGGCAGTACTTACTTAGAGTGTAGGCAGCTACCAGGCAAAGGCCAGGCTGCTTCTGGGAGAAAGCCACATCAAAATTCAGCTGCCTCTGTTGCCAACCCTGCTTTTGCTGGCACCCAGGCCGTGTTTCATTGGCACTGGATGTAATTCTCTTAGAGTGCTGTAGAACCCGTGCCCTCTTGTCAAACTTGCAGATCAACAATTTAAATTCACTTGAAATTTAAATTCAGCTAGGGCTCACTCTGGAACAAAGCGATTCATTAGATGGGAGCACGGGGACAGATCCAGAGAGAACTAAGTGGGGACACCATGGACAGGTAGCCAGTGCAACATGCCCAAGCCAGAATATACTCACACATGGCCATCTTGCTATAGACATGGAGACCTGACCCCAGGTCCACAGACCTAAAGATAAGCCACTGACAGATGACTTATGTGGATCCTAACAGATACTTAACGCATCTTATCCCAGGGTGTTGCTCTCCCACCCCATGCTTGACTGCCTGTTCCTGCTCCCTTGCTCTCCCTATCGCCTGAGTATATTAGTCAAGTGACCTTCTCCATCACCTCTCCTTGGGTTCCGCATCCCACGATGTCACAGGAAATGTACACAGGACCAGCAAAGTTTCTGTAAAACGAAGAGATGGCCTTTACACCCCCCCTCAGCATCATGTTCCTCATCTGTGAGGGAGACCTCCGCGGGCTCCCTGCTAGTCAGATGGCCTTTCCTCTCTGCACCCCCCTACAACGGCATCAAGAAACTAAGGCGTCTGATGGAAGGAACAGCGTGCAGCCAAGTGCCAAAGGCTTATAGTCAAATGGGAGGAAAACTAATTAGTATAAAGACAGGGTTTGTAATTCTAAGAGAAGCTGAATACAAGGTCCTGGAAACCCAGCCCTCTAGCCTGGTTGTGGGAAGAATTAAAAAGTCTGTTCGAGAGAAAATTCTAAGGGTATGACCAAGTGGATGTTGGCAACAGAAATTACTGTGGGTGGACAGAGGAGCCCGGGTTACCTCTTTACTCTGTAAAGACTTCCCATGGCTGACGAGACTACAATTTGTCTGACGTTCATCATCTCTCCAGCATCGCTTGCCTTCATTCTTTAGCACCAATTTCCCAAGTTGTCTTGCTTAATTTTTTTTTTTTTGGTAAACATTTGTGGGGTGGTACTCACTCTGGAATCACAGCTGCCTGACATCTTTACTGCTCTGCCTCAGGCGTGCAGTGTACGGGGCAGTGAGGGGGGGGCTTGGTGTATCAAAATATCCTCTGTCCTCAGTCACCCAGGTTCTTCAGGAAGTTTGAAAGGTACCCTGGTCATCTTGGTGGCAAGATTAGAAAATGATATAGATTTAGTCATAGGTCAGAAGTGCTCAACCACGAGATAGCCTGAGGCTTACTTACTTAATTTAGGAACTGGTGGACGTGCATGGTGCCTCCATTAAGAAAATATCACTTTGAGCCAAGTGGTGGTGTTGCACACCTTTAATCCCAGCACTTGGGAGGCAGAGGCAGGCGGATCTCTGTGAGTTCAAGACCAGCCTGGTCTACAAGAGTTAGTTCTAGGACAGGCTCCAAAGCTACAGAGAAACCCTGTCTCAAAAAACAAAAACAAAAAAATTCACTTCAAGTTTATGCAGTCTATTGTTGTGTTCTAGACTGAACTAGAAAAGACTAGACCATTGCTCCTAAGAGAGATTAGGAGTGAGGTTCCCAAGAACTTTGGGGCACAATACTTTCATTGACACATTCAATATGTAACCTTATTTTTGTGAGTTTTTTGAGCTTATTGGTTCCTAATATAATATACAATGTAGGTTCATTAACATTGAACCCACTCCCCAGGAACCTGGAATTCCCACCCAAAGAAGTCTTGCTGAATGCGTGTGTTTTCTACATAAGGCACACCACGGCCTCTTACTCTTGGTGCCGTACAGTCTCTCACACTAGCTTGGGGACTGAGACGACCCAAAGAAAGCACCAAAATGCCAGTTGCAAGTCTCCCAACAGAATGCTAGCACCGTGTTCACAGTACACAGGCTGGAACGAGAAGGCAGAGTGCCTCGTGTGTCCTTAAACAAAAGCTAGGTGAGTCACTTAGGAGTTACAAAGAGGTGACTAGGTGAGTTCACGAGCATCGACTTTTGTGGAAAAGGAATTTGCCAATGTAAATCTTTAGAAGCAATGTTGGCCTTGGAGTGAAGGTAAACATTCTACATCCTCCCTCCCTTCCTCCCTCCCTCCCTCCCTCTCTTCCTCCCTTCTATTTACTATTGTTTTAGGACAAGATCTCTCTATATAGATTAGGTTGATCTCAAGCTTGAAACGTCCTGCCTCGGCCTTCTGAGTGCTGGGATTCAAGGGGTACCTGCCACACTCAGCTTCTTTGGTTCCACGGTTGTCAGTGTTGCGTGGCTTTTCTCTATGGGCTTCAGTGTGAGTGCCTGTTGTGGCACGGATGCTAAGATATCCCATAGCTTTTCCAGTGAGTACGTGATTCTGTCAACGTTTTTTCACTGGGCATAAAGAATCATACCAGCACCACGAATCTCAGAAACACGCCTATTGCAAATCCATGCTTTGCTTTTGTGAAGGTCAATGTCCTGGATGAAGACACCGTGGTCATGAACTTGGAGTTCAGTGTTCAGGAAACGACATGCCTGAGAGATTCCGGCGATCCCTCCTCCTGTACATTCCGAAGGGGCTTCTATGTGGTAAGTGACCCAGGAAGTAATGTGAGGGAGACCCTCACTACTTTCATGACTAGGAGTGGGTCAGAGGTCACCAAAGGAGCTTGGCTGGCTGCTGCCTGTCTGGCACTCAGCCACACACTGGGTCGCCACAGTGTTTCCTGCCATGGACTGTGTGCTCCGTGCTTGAGGGAGTGAGCTCTTGAGTCTGGAACCTGCAGTCTTGGTGATATTGGTCAATTCTTTAACCATTACTGCCCCAGCGTCCTATTCTCTAAGGTCCAGATGTAATCTCCAGTATGTGTTATATCCTCACATGGTGAGGATGCTTTGCATCAGATGGTGTAGTGATGCAAAGAGGCCTACAGCAAAGAGAAGTCCCAGCACATCTGAAACTCTGCTTGACATGGATGTGAGACCGTGAGCCTCACTTTGGTACACTGTCCATGACTGAGTGTTGTCCACAGTGTGTCTCCCCTTCTCATTCAGGTTACATGGCCTATTTATGTCTACGTTCCCTGTGACCAGAATCATCAGCTGTTGTATGATGGAACCCTCTCTGATCAGAATGAAACCATCAGTCCAGACCCAAAATATTTCAGTCAAATGAGTGACTTCTTGAGATCTCATTACAGAGAGGAAATTATTTCGTTATTTATCTCATGAAACTTCAATGGGGTTCTGTCTTATAGAGGACTGTCACATGCATTCACTTCTAATTAAATCTTAGGGCCACGTCACTTATCCATATCCATATATATATGACATATACATACACACAGAGACATAGACATGTATGTATATGTGTACTTATGTATGTATGTATATGCCACATAGTCAAATATATGGCATCTCTACTACATTTCTGTTAAAGCAAGAAGAGATTCCAATCAGACTTTTATACTCACGAGGAAATGTAGGTTTTTCTCAGAGACTGGTATTAAACTCATGGAGATATTTAAACATCCCTTTTAAGCTGTTTAGTTCTGCAGAGTATTCTTTGGATAACTGAACCACCTCTGTGAATTTCTCCTTTCGGCCGCATTTTGCAAACCCTGCCGTATTTCCCAGTTTATGGTCCAGAGGCTAACCCCTCCCACAGGGCCCTGAAGAAACAACTCATGACTCTGTCTTTGTCAGCCAACAGCTGCTTGCCGGAGCACCGTGCAGATGTCCCAGGGGCAGGTGCAGGATGTGTGGGCTCATTGCCGCTGGGCCTCTGCATCCGAGTCCAACAGCAGTGAAGAGGTACGATGGGGGCCGGTCTCCTTTCAGCTGGGTCGGGGACGGTCTGCGAAAGCTGAGCGGTTTGATGGGCTAGGTGGGCCATCATGCACCTGTCAGTAGACAGACTTCTGCTCACACAGCTAGATTCTCCCTTGAACAACTGGCCCATTTTCCATAATCCGTATTTCTTCCCACCACACTCCCCCAACGCAAAATACAGCAACGCAGCTCTTACCTCAAAGGGAATAAGAGGCAGTTCATTTGGGAGCTAACTATAAGGGACCCTGACCTGAGAGCACAGATTCAGTGGGCCCCAAATGCTATGTTTCCTGTGTGATAGTTTGCTTCTGATTTCATGGTTTTATAGGAGCAGAACAATTAAAGTACAAAAATCAATGGATTTCAAATACGTCTGTGGAAATTTCATGTAGGTGGATTACAGCAAAGAGGGGAACGTGTTAGAGGCCTCAGATGTATCTGATGTCACTTTTAGCTTTGGGGTTGCTGGGAGCTAGGGATCTGTACATTCCCAAAAGGATTTAAGTTGATGATCACAAGGTTGTTAGGCCATACACAGGGGTGAGCGATAAAAGGCTGCTGGGGGCAAAGATGGCCCAAGAGAGTTTGATCTAAACCTGAAACTCTCTAGCTCTCCACAATCACCAAAATCCAACCAGAGGAACAGGACTGATAATTCTCTCTCTCTCTCTCTCTCTCTCTCTCTCTCTCTCTCTCTCTTTCTCTCTTCCTCTTTTTTCTTTTAACCTCCTGCTCTTTCACTTCCTCTCCCTGAGATTTGGGACTTGATTTCAGAGCATTAGTTACCAAATTTCAAAGTTTGACCCCCAAGTCTGTAGCTCACTGGAGAGCACATGGGCATCTTTGTTGGACCAGTGTTCCAAGTATTGGATCTGCGACTCTAGGTCAGGATTCCCCGCCCCCTTTGGTTTTTCAAGACAGGGCTTCTCTGTGTAGCCCTAGCTATCCTGGAACTCACTCTGTAGACCAGGCTGACCTTGAACTCATAGAGATCCACCTGCCTCTGCTTCCTGAGTGCTGGGATTAAAGGCCTGCACCACCACCACCCAGCTAGATCAGGATTCTTGACCTTTATTTAACCTCCATGGTCTGCAACTTCTTCTCCTGTTAAATGCTGAATAATACAGACATCAGCTGCTACCAGAGACTTTAGGAAAAAGGCCTGGGCTGCAGTTTCAACAGGCAAGGTGAGGCAACCTATTCCAATAAGCCAGTGAAAGAAATAGTAAAAAGCAGAGAGATATTTTTTTAATGGGGTCAATAGATAAAAGGGTCCAGTGACCTTCATGTGCACCTTTGGAGACATAAGTCTAGATTTAGAGAAAAAAAAATGGAGCAGAAGGTTAGTGGCTTATGCATGACTAAACAATTCTCACCACTGACTCATCATTATTCCAGCCCCAATCTGTCCTCCAATCCAGTCAAATAAACTGGTAACCACTGTCTTTGCCCATGGGAACCAGCCTCAGTCCTACATGTGGTGACTCTATTCCAGGGTGCAGCCTCTCCTTCATGAGGAGAGTTGCTCTGCAGGGTAGCCTGCGAAGATTCTTCAAAGTTTTCATCCCCTGGAATCGAAAGCGACCTCAGGTTTAGGATATTGACTTGTCTCTGTGCCTTCAGCCTTGAAGAGGAATGGGATAGGTTAGATAAACACTCCCAGAGGGATTGGCAAGCTAATCTGTAGCGTAAGCAGGTACCAGGAGAAGTCTTAGTGCCCATCTTCAGTGGATGTGAAAGATCAGATCTACGGTCTGATAATATGCTAGATGCTGAGTTAGTGGCAGAAGTGGCCTTTTTGTCCCTAATTGCCTTGGACACATGTATTAGTTACCTTACTGGTCGTTGTGGCAAAAGCAACTTAAGGCTCACCGTTTGAAGGAACACCCCATGCAGCCAAAGAATGGCAGCGAGGACAGCTTTAGCCGCAGCAGCAGGCGTGTGAGGTACTGGTCACATTGTGTCTGCAGTCAGGAAGCAGAGGTGTGTGTGTCGGAGGGGGGGTTACTGGTCCTTAACTGGCTTTCTTCTTTTCCCCTTTTCACTCATCCTAAGACCCCAGCCTGTGCTATTGGCACCACTTGGTAGGTCTTTACTCTTAAACCTATTGATAGACTCCACAAGAGGTGTTTCTCCTACGTAATTTCAAAACCCACCAAGTTACCAATCAACATTGGCCATGGCAAAGTGGTTCGCACTATTACTTTGAAATCAGTGATACACATTTATGACTTGACCTCACATTACTTCCTTGACAACTCTCTCTACTAGACTGAATCTCCTGAGCCTGAGGGATGTTAGTTTTCATCAGCCTCATTTAAACTTGATGCCAGATAGGTGTTCATTAAACACTTGTTGAAAGAATACAAGAAAACTGGGGGGAAATTGTCAGGAATACAGCACAAAAAAAATCACCTTCTGTATTCCAAAGGTGTGATTAATATCACAGTTACATCTTTCAAGTAATTTGCTCATTCGTAGTGGGGTAAAGTTCTTGACTGGTGTTTAAATCTTTCCCACTATTGTTCAGCTATAGAATAACTTTCTCTACATCTTCTATTTTTGTTCAGTTTTATGAGATAGAGCTCTATTATGAATATTATATTAAAAAGTGCATAAAGCTCTAACTTCAAGAATTGAACACGAGCATTCACACCCTCTGTGGAGCTGACATCCCTGCCCCTTGGTTGTTTAATAATGAAGTGCATTTTAGAATTAGGAAGGTATAAAACCAATGACCAGAGACCTCAGAGTCACATGGAAACATCTTTCCAGTACAGAGAAGAAACACATTGTTGGCCGATCTCAGTCACACTGCCAACTTCTGAGGGTCAACCTCCCAGGTCATTTCTGGGTGTCTCCTGGAGCTGTAGTTTGAGGATTTTCTTTTCTTGATGCTAACTAAGTACCAAGGGTCCCCTTTACTTAACTCTCAGAGTTAAACTCTTTGACAAACCTGTGACACATGGTCCAGCGAACTCGAGAATGACAGTGATCAAACATAGCTTCCAGGGCAATTCATTTACTACTGATTTTGTGGTTTGTATGTGGGGCTAGAGGGGAACTATATGAGGTTGGAGATAACAACACTGCCCAGTTCTAGTTGACCCTGGGGATTGGACTCGGGGTTTCATGCCTGCTGGGTAAGCATTCTACTGACTAAGCTACACTCCAGCCCCGACTTCTTCATATCATGAAGCAAAACTACAGCTACAGACTCACATCCTTGGTACTTGGAGGCAAAGGGAATCCTTATTTCTAGTTTGAGTTAGAGAAATCGTCTACCATTGCACTCCTTGGCCTGACTAATGTCATATGCCTCTCCTATAGATACTGTCTTACTATTTATTTTTACATATATTTTCTCTGTACACTGCGTTTATTATTTTTTGTGTGTGATGCTGGGGGTGACATGCAAGGCCTCCTATATAAAATGTTTGCTTTACTACCAAGCTACATCCTTAGCCCCTAATGTAATGTCTTTTCTTTCATTTTTTAAGTAACACCATTAAGCTATAATTCACATGTGGATACAATCTGCCTTTTAAAAAGATTCTGTTTAGTGGTTTGGGGTATATTTGGGTACAGTTCAGTGGGTTTGGGTATATTTGCATGATGGTGGTCAAGTTCCCACCACCATCCAAATTCAGAATCTGCTCATCATCTGGAGAGGGGGTTCCTGAGAAGAGCCCGTCTCTAGTCTACAGTCTCCCACCCTGCCTTCCTTTCTTTCTTCCTTCCTTCCTTCCTTCCTTCCTTCCTTCCTTCCTTCTTCCTCCCTCTCCCCCCCTCTTTCATTTCTTACTTCCTTTCTCCTCCTCCCTTTCTTTTCTTTTTATTGAGATAGGCTCTTACTATGTAACCCAGGTTGGCCTTGAACTCACAGTGATCCACCTGTCTCAGCCTCCCAAGTGTTAGGATTGAAGGCTTACACTACCATAGCTGGCTGAGAGTTTCTGTTTCTACACCTTCTTGCCAACATTTGCTACTGCCTGTCTATACTTTAGCCATGTGCTATGTATTAAGAGGTATTTTGTTATGGTTTAATTTGCATTTTCCTCATGACTGTCCATTTGTATAGCTTAGGGAAAATGTTAATTCCAGTGTTCTAGTTATCTTTTTATTATGGACTTCTTAGTGAACATTTCCTCTCACTTTTCGTGCCGCCCCTGCTATGATGACCTTTGCTACATCCAATTTCTTTCTCTTTTATTGTTTCTGAAGACTTACAAACATGTAGATCTTTTATTGATGATCTGCTCTGATTTAGTTTTTATGCATAGTTTGGGGAAATGGTTCAGTACCGCTCTTTTGTATGTGGTTTCTGGTTGTCCTAACATTGCTTACTGCCTTGTGTTGCTAAGTCCTCACCCCTTGATCTGTCCCCATGACGGGAGCCAGAGCCTCACGGTGGCTGCCAAGGATGGAGACTTAGCCGCCAGGCAGAAAGATGGGATAGACTTCCTTGACTATTGTATGGATCTGGGCATTTTCTACAAACTGCTTGGAGTTCTTTTGATCTCATGAATGTAAATTGGAATTCTCATAGAGACATTTCCTCTAAGCTTGTACATTTTGACCTGAACTTGGTCTAATTACAAAGTTCCGTTTTGTGCTGCAGGGTCCAGAGGCACATACTGGCCCAGTGGAAGCTTTGGCTTCGACTTAACCTTTGTATAACTTACTATTCTCCATGTGATCTCCTGCTCCCTTTCTCCTTTCTCTTGCCTTCCTTTCTTGTGTCTGTCCTTTCCTTTCTTTGTGGGGAGGGCAAGGCCTCACTCTACAGCCTAGGGTTGTCTTGAACTTACGATCTTCCAGTCTTCGCCACTTGTCTGCTTGGATTCAGGCGTGCATCATCCCACCTATTTTTCCCGAGTTATCTTCCTTTAAACTTGTTTTAATTAATTAGTTAACTAACTTACTTAATTAGTTAACTGTTGAGCCATCTTTCCAGCCTCTTACTGTGCTCTCTTGAATGTACACATTAGAGCTAGCCTCTTTCCACTGAGTGCACTATACATCCAAATCCTCTACGCAGCATTTGCATTTTCTCTTTCATACTGAAATTTAAACTTTTTTAGATGATTTTTGGGGACATGCCAAGATCCTATAGACGGAGAAATGATTATCTGCTGGGTAAGTTGAGACCTATGACCTTTGGTATTATTTGTTTTTCCTTCCTAAACTTCCAATCACAGTTCTCTGTGAATCATTTAACGCTAGACATGTCTAGTTTTTCTACAGATAACCTTTGAACAATTAAAGTCATTACAAAAAGCAAACACCTGGCTTTACTTTTGCTCCTTTCTTATCTCGCTGGGTAATGATGCAACCATTGGCTTAAGTATTGCTACAGAGTTCCCCATATAGGATGGCATTCAGTGGTCTGACACCTCTGCAGACCGGTAGGGCCAATGTTAGTTTTTCTTGTTATAATCCTGTTTCTGTTGCTGGGATAAAATGTCACAACCAAAAGAAGCTTGGGGAAGGAAAGCACTTATTTTTGGCTTACACATCTCAATCATGGTCCATCATAAAGGGAACTCAAGGCAGGAACCCGAAGGCAGGAACTGAAGCAGAGGCCATGGAGAAGTGTTATGTACTGGCTTGCTCTCTATAGCTTGCTCAGCCTGCTTCCTAATACAATCCGAGACCACCTTCCCAGGGGTAGCACTCCCCACAGTGGGCTGAGCCCTCCCACATCAGTCATCAGTTGATAAAATGCCCCCCAATACAGACCTGCCCACTGGCCAATCTGGTAGGGGCATTTCCTCAGTCAAGATTTTCTCTCCTAAGATGACTTAGTTTATTGACAAAAACCCTAAACAGCATACACATTAAGAGGGCCTCACACTTGGTCATGCTTGCTCCCCTTCACACAGCATCCACACTGTAGGATCTAATATGTGCTATGTTCCTAGTCAGGGTAGACTCAGGCATTTCCAGTCATGTGACTGGCATCCATGCCACTGTCTTTCAAGGTGTCTTGGTTGGGTGATAGAACGGTCTTCATTTCCCCGCCCTATGCAATATTTTATTGTAAAAAACACCAGGTTCTGCTCTACCACTTAGAAGCCATTTTTCATGTTTTTGATGAGTTTCCCTATTGGCGTCAATGTCAGTAAAACTCTGCTGCCATCCGCTGCTCCTCTGTTTATGGGGCATATTCGCGGGCCCAGCTCTGCAATTACATCACTCTCTGCAAGTGGGTGGGGAGGTCTGGCCTGACGGTTGTTAATGTGTTACAGGTTTTCTTACGGATGAATTCAGAAATGAACGAGTCCAGGACCGGTCACTTGGTAAGTGGTCTGTTTCCTTCTGTCAGATCTCCCTAGAAACTGCTCATCAGGAGGGCCACGCTGAAGCCATTGTACAAAGAAAGGACAGACCCTGAAATAGGAAATGATTTCCACAAACGAGAACATTTATGTATGAACTTGCTTGGTAAGCCGTGAGAAGGTAACTTTGAGGCACTAGATTCCATAAAAGATGCCAGAAATGAAATGTTAGGTCAACTTGGGAGGTCATCACTAGCCTTACTCCTTGTCCCACCCATAACATTTTCTGGGTCACCCTCCCTATGACTATCTCCCTCATTTCCCAGTCTTGACCAGACTTCTTGGTAAATGGAAAAACCTGGAGCTTTGATCCTTGCCCATACAGTCAGTTTCCTTCTTCAGTATTCAGGGTTGCTTTGTCAGCTCTGTGTCCTCCACTTAAATCCAGAGGAGCGGAGTATTGAAAACACTGGGTGTTAATTGGCAAAGGCGGAGTGCATACCCTGCACTTACTGCTTACCAAGGCTTCCCCCTTTGACTCTCACACTCAGGCTGTGGCTGCACCATGTTCTCGCCCTCCTTGGAGGCTTTGGTATGGTAATTTTCTCTATTTCTACAGATCTTTTTCCGTTCAATGGTCCCCAATATCTCTGCAGGCAGGAGGGAAAAGTTTCCTTCTTAAGAGTGTCCCGTACATGTACACAGTTATTGTCCCTGTGTATGTTATCTGAGTTATAGAGTCCCCTGTGTGGCCGTGCTCCCCTCGAAGAGTCAACTCATCTATGTTGTTAGGGTGGACTCTGTCGTCCCCAGGCACGAGGCTAGCACAGGGGCCAGGACTTTGATCCTATCTGTCTAACAGGTCTGTGCATTCTCCACACTTCTCTCTAACATTGTGCAATCCACCCTGTGTCCAGAACCCTGTTAGAATAAATGACACTGACATTCGCAGGTTAGGGAGCTCTGTCTTCATGTTCCAATTGATGCTGAGTGCTAGAAATTCAACCTGAAACTTTTTAAAAGCCCCCAGGGTTTGCCTCTTGGGAGAACACACACACACACACACACACACACACACACACACGAAGGGGGTGGTGTAAAGAGAGAACAAGAGATGAAAATATAGTACAGACGTAAACTCGTGTGACCTGTCCTCTTGTGTGTGTCAGAAAGCTTCTCCAAGCCAACACTTAACCACATTTGGGCCTTGGAGCATCATTAATGCAGATGTACAGCTGTCTCGGAGATGCCTTTGAACAGAACGGTTTAATGAAATTCCGCAAATGTGTGTGACAAGCATGGGGTAGTTTCCACGGAGGGCTGAAAAAGAGATGTGACAGTTCCTGCCCTTGAGGGCTTGCAGCTAAGGCCGAGGATGTCACATGAGCTAAAGAGTGAGAAGTCAGCTCTGGGTGCCGCTGTGACATGAGAGGGCCCGAGGCTTGTTGGGGAAGGCGAGAGATGGGTGCATTGGGTGTTGTGTGGGCAGTGACGGCTTCAGTTCTGCTTGGCTTGTTCTCAATAATTTATGCCTGACAGAGTGTTTCTCCCTTCCATCTTTAGAGAGAGTGAGAAGGGGACATCTTCCTTCACATAGAAGGTTCCAAAATCTCCATCATAGAGCAAGAGTAAACTTTGGCTTTGAGTGACATCCTGGAGGTAAGGGACGACACTCACACTATGATCATTTAGAGGCAGAAGGAACTTGGAGTAAATGCCACGGCTTTGGAGGGCTCCAGCTCTCCTCCTCATGCTCCTTGGTGTGACTTTCTGTTACCTCCTGCCTCCTCCATCCATTGTGCTTCCATCTTGTGGCCCCTGTCTTTCCCCCGTGACATCTGCTGTTACTGACATGACCGAGTTCCTCCATTTTACAAGCCACAAAGAGAAGGGTCCCTGCTTTACCCAGCCTTTCTTCCAATATTTCCTTCCTGACATTCTTCCTTCCTAGGAGGCTCCATAACATTTTTCATGGAATTGTCTTTGACTTCTCTTTCTCTGTCATTTCAGCACTGCTGGTCGTGTTTACTACCTCAGCCCAGGTCTTTCTCTCTTCTGTAGATTACTCTGTCATCTCTTCCTCTTACTTGTCCATCATTGCCATTGATGGGTAGGCTACCTTCAAATGTGTCACACTCTCCCAAGATCTGGGTCCTTATGTCAACTGCCTGCTGGAAGCATTGGCCGTGGGTATACTGTGAGATCCAGAAGATCTGCTAGCCTCATTTCTTTTTAATGCCCTTTTACCCACCAAATTTTCCTAACTTAAAGATGTGGGAGCATCACTGAAAAGTCTTCTCTGTCCTTCATCATCTCCTGGTTTCTGTGGGATGTTGGTCGTCTAGACACATTTATCTAACTTCAGCCTGCCCTCTCTTTCCCTCACTACTTACGGAACAGGCTGCATTCTGGGCCCAGGGCCTCGTTCCACACTGCTTGCCTTGCCTGCTGGCCTTGGGTTTATCCGGAAAGATGAGGAGACTTTGATCTTCCACTGCTGCCCTCTGATGTTGACTTCACTTGTGGGTTAAAGCAGAGACACTGAGGAAAAACAGAACAATGGCTTTTACATTCTCCCCAGTGCTTTGGGGGAACTGTAGACTGAATCCTGGTGTATGAAACTGCCACCCAGCGTGGTGGAGTCTCACAATTACACGTATTCTCAATCACCAGGCATGAGAGCAAGCAGAATAAGAATTCTGAAAACTCACAAGTATCAAAGGGTCCCCATGAAGGATGGAGTTAAAAGGAAGCTTAAGATAACAATTGCAGAGGCTGGACAGATGGCTCAGTGGTTAAGAGTGCTGGTTGCTCTTACAGAGGACATGGATTTGATTTCCAGAACCTGCAAGGTGGTTCACAACCATGTGTCACTCCAGTTCCAGAGAATCCAGCCCCCTCTACTGACCTCTGTGGGTACTGCACACACATGTGGTACACATACATGCATACAGGCATTCATACACATAACAATAAATCCTAATAATTAAAATTAAATAGAAACTTGGAATCACAAGTGTGAATTTGAGGGCAGCCATGTTTACAGGAACACACACAAATTACAAACAAAGCCTTAGAATTTATGCACTTGACATTTTTAATGAAAGCATTTACTTATTTTATGTGGATGAATGCTTGCCTGTACGTATGCATATGCACCATGTGTATGCCTGGTGCCCTCACTGCCGGGAACTGAACCTGGATTTCCTTCAAGAGCAGCAAGTGCTCTTAACTGCTGGGCCATCTCTGCAGTTGTCTGTTCCACTTCATATTGTGGACAACACCGCACACTTCCAGACATGACCTGAATTCCTCGATGGCCCACAGCAGCTTTACTGCTTCAGCCCCACACCGCTGGCTTTGTCCTTCCCCCACACACCACACTCCTGAGCTCCCATGATGCCCAGGTTCAGTTCCCAGCCCTGGAATGGTAGTTCACAACCATCTGTAACTCCAGTTTCAGGGGATCCAATACCCTCTTCTGGTCTCTGAGGGCACAAGGCAAACACATTACGGTGCATATACGTACATGCAGGAAGCTTCCTGAGCATTCATCCCAGACCCCTGTAATCCGTCCATGACACCCGATATGTCCACCCTCAGTCGGTGTCTTTGGAGTGGATGCTGGGGTCTTTCCGATCATGCTCTTGAGAGGCTTCTGCCTGAAAGGCAGCTAAACATGGCATAATTAATCCTAACGACTTACAATTTGAAAGAAGTCAACTGACATTTTACTAAAATAGAGAGAAAATTCACTATGGATGAGAGATGCAAGTGGCAGATTTTCTTTTTCATCTAAAAATAAAAAAAGGCTTCTTCTTGAGATCAAGAAACTATTCATCATGAAGAAAGAGACTCATTGAATTCTTTACATGCATACAAAAACTGCCCCAGTATACACCATCTGGAGCGAGGGCAGGGTGGGAGGGTAGAATTGTCAGTGGGTCGGCTGTGCTTTGCTTACTAATGATATGATTACCACTGGTGTGTATGCATGCGTGTGTCGCAATAAAGTTGCATCATCTAGCATCTGCAGAGACACGAATCACCAAAACACATGTCATTAAATGCAGACTGAAGACCAAATGCAGCAGCCTTGGCCTGTGTGTTGATTTTTGCTAGTGTCCCAGTTGCATCTCTGCCCTCATGTGACCTTTAGCAGGGCAGGTTTTGAAACAGCCCACCATGTTGCCTAGAGTCATAAAATGAAGCTAGTAGCAGTCACATGGTGGGTCTAGTGAGGAGACAGCCCCAGTGGGCTCTGGGCTCCGCTGGTCTCTTCCTAAACCTGCACCATGCCATCCGACAGGCATCCAGTCCTGAGAGGAGGGTTCAGCACCTCCAAGGCTGTTTCTTTTTCTTTGCGTTAGATGAACTCTTTGCAGATGAACCTAGCCATTCTTATTAGTTTAGTTCGATGACTACTGAAGATGTCCCTTAATGTCTATATACAATTATTAATAAAAATGTCCTTTATTCATTTCATTAGATACCCAGGATAGAATGAGTGGATGATTGACTATTAATGAGATTGCTATTTTAAAATTGTGAATCGCATTTCCCCCACTTTATCACGAGTCTGCCCTAGTCCCTGAATTAAAATAGAAAGTGAGAAAATGTGTCTATAATTTAGTAAATACTGTTCTAGGCTTCTTTAAGGTTGCCAGGAACAATTTAATACACGAGTATAGAGTGAAATGTACTGTGTAATAAAAGAACCATGACATTGTTTGTTAGTGGGACTCTAAAATAGGGCGTTTGGAAAACCAGAGCACAATGCTCATGTTGAAAGGGTCTACTTGAAATTCCTACATTTTCTTAACCTTTGTAGCCGGGACGGTTCTGTGTTGTCAACTGTGGGGTGACAGAAGGATGTGAGCCGGACATTTTCTTTATGCTGTCCTATGGCTGTCTGTAGGACTGTTGACGTGTACCCAAGAGCAGCGGCAGAGGCAGGTCTGATGGTTTTTCTTCATAAGTCAATAGCAGAAAGATTTGTCCCATGAGTTTTCTACTCATTCCTTCCGCCACTGTTGGTCAGATGTCCTCTTTGCACCCAGTCTCTGCATCCAGGAAGACCAGCCCTCACAAGTATGCTTACTCCCTCTGTTATATAGTGATCTGTTTCTTAGAGAAGGGGGCAAGGTGCTCAGAGAAGTCCCACTCACACAGATGGTGTGGAGGTTGGGGTTTATCTTCTCATGTCTGCTTGCTACACCTCTGGTCTTCCCCTTGTGATACACCTCTTCGTGAAATTTCAAAGTCTGAGATCCATTTATCCTGTGCTAAGAGGCTCTGGATGTGTTCTTGCTAACTAGACATAACTTTCCAAGTGTGAATAGCGTGTCTACCATCAAAAGTCAGGTGGGGGCACTGTTCCCCAACACCTGAGGCACCTTGGCCTCTTGGGAGGGATTTCCTTGTTCAGGTTTCAGACTCACTAGTGAGAATGTCTTGTTATGATCTCCACCCACCGAAGGGAGTCAGAACCCACAGAAGGGGGGCGCAGTGGGGAGTGCCACTAAGGCCCAAGAAGCAAGAACCTGATTCCTCTCCACTCTCCACTGCCCTCTAGCTCTCATTCCTGCACACTGCATCTCTTAACAATGGTTTTACCAGGTATTGTGAGCTCCCATGATCTGCATGAGTTAATGTTCTACATGTGAGAACATGGAATTACTAAACAACTGTATCTATGAGAATCATAAGGTTAGGTGTCTTGGAGCTGTGTTCCTGACATGTAACATTGTTCATGCGTGTTTCTGATTAGATGCCTTATTGAATGTATTTTGCTCATTCTCCTTTTTTTTAAAAACAAAACAAAACAAAACAAAACAAAACAAAAACCATTAAATGCATACCCAATGTGTTGTAACCCAGGCTAAAGAAGAGCACATCCAAGCAGAGGCTGGTGGTGCGGGCAGCAATCCCAGCTACACAAGAGACTGAGGCAGAAGGATCACAAGTTCAAGACATTCCGGGGTTACAGAGAGAGTTCAAAGCCAGTCTGAGCAACTTTAGTGGGACTTTTCTCAGAATAAAAAAATAACTATCAGAAAGACTGTGGCTGTGGCTCAGAGGCAGAGTGCTTGCATAGCATCTGAGAGACCAGGATTCAATCACCCCCACACAACACAACACATCACACACACACACACACACACACACACACACACACACACACACACACA